ATGATGTTCAATTATATTCAAGGTCACAAGGGTCAAATATATTTAAAATCTTTAAACGACATCCTCTGAAAAACCACGCAGCCCAGAATAATAATATTTTGTCATTAGCATGCTTGGATGAAGGGTTACCAAGTTTGTAAACTTAATGACTATGATCTATATTTAAGATGACATGGGTTGGTCAAATATGTTTGAAAGCTTTAAATGTCTTTTTTTGAATAACCAAAAGTCCCAGAATGTTGATATCTGGCTATTACCATGCTTGGATGAAGGGTTACCAAGTTTATTCACATGAATGACTTTTTATTTATATTCAAGGTCACAGGGGTCAAATTTGTTTAACATCTTTAAACAACTTTTTCTGAATTACCATGAGGCCCAGAATTTTGATATTTGGATGAAGGGCTATCAAGTCATTTAAATGACCTTGACTCACTTTCAATGTCACATTTTGTCAGATATGTTAATGACCTAATGTCATTAAACAAAAGGTCTAGGATGGTGATATTTGGCAAGTTGCATGCTGAAATGAAAGGCTTTAAAGTTTGTTCAACATAATGATCTTGTTCGAAAATCAAAGTCACATGGGTCAAATGATTTAAAATCTTTTAACAGGTTGTTTTGAATGACTTATAGTCATTAATACTGATATTTTATCTGTAGCTTTATATAAGATCACCTTTTAAGTTACAAGTGTGAGATTAATACCAGGTGAGCGATGCAGGTACATTGGGCCTCTTGTTTAAAAAAAAAGTAATCTGTATATTATGCAAATCATATTAAATATAATGGGGGGACCTAATTTTGTATAAATGGTGGGTCTGGTCCCCCAGGGGGCTGAGGGGCGGGGCCCAATAGGGGGAATATAGCAAATTCTTTAAAATCCTTCTTCTTCTGTAGGAATGAAAGGATGTGTTCCATATTTGGTCAGAACCATTCTTGGGGGAAGGGGAACAAATTTTGCATAAACAATGGGTCTGGCCCTCCAGGGGGCTGAGGAGCGGGGCTCAATAGGGGAAACATAGCAAATTATTCTTTAAAATCCTTCTTCTTCTGTGGGAATGAAAAAAATTGTTCCATATTTGGTGTGGAGCATCCTTGGGTGAAGGGGAACCAATTTTGTATAAACAGTGGGTCTTGCCATATATTATTATTAATATATTACTTAAATGTATCCAATACATATATTCATTAATGTATATATAATAATTAATAGATTTCTGCCCGTTCCTGCCCGTTCCTGTAAATCGTCTAACCCCTAGTCACGGCATTTCGGTGATTTTTTCTGCACCAAATCGCATATTTCCAGATAGAATGTGACATATAGAAGTAAATAACTTCAAGAAATGTGATATTTCACAGCAATAAAGAAGTATTTGGTTCATAACTGGGTCGTATGGGGTAGTATTGGGTCATAGTCATGGCACTTCGGTGATGTTTTCGGCACCAAATCGCCTATTTTCCGATAAAATATGGCAGATGGAAGTAAATAACGTCTACAAAGGTGATATTTCACAGTAATAAAGAAGTATTTGGTTCATAACTGGGTCGTATGGGGTAGTATTGGGTAGTATTGGGTGGTATTGGGCAGTATTGGGTGGTATTGGGTAGTATTGGGTAATTAGACGCACCCGAAAAACACGAAAAAGGTAATATTAAAGGAATAGACAATAAATATAAGGATTAACTTTCTATGTAGTTCAGGGCGATACATTTGTAACTACAATGGAACTCGGGTAAATTAATCATAATCAGCATCGCCGATTATTCAATTTACCATTATCAGTTCCATTGTAGCTATCACCCGATAACCTTAAATAAATAGAAAGTTAATCCATAATAGGATATTTTCTACAATTTGTATCATTCAAACGTTCCTCCTCTCTTTCCATGACAGATTTGTTGAACCAGGAAGCCACACTATGAACCCATGAATCCAGCAATCACAGTTGGACACTAGAGACTAGCCCCGTGTATCAGGGTGATGGATAAGTCAAGGTTTATTTCGAGGCCTGCAAAAGTGACGACACAAGCGTAGGGCCAAGCAAATGACATGGAACCCCCGGACAAAGAAAGCAACAAACATTTAAACGACCCACCTGGAAATAATCCCCAGCAGCAAACGCAGGTGTCAATTCCACAGCAGGAGAAAACAATCGACGATCTACAGGTGCCAACTCCGCCGGCAAACAAGACCGGCGATCAAACGGTCCACATGTCATCATCTCCCCATAATGAAGACCAACAAACATCAAAGACGGAGAATCCGAAACCAGCTGGAACTAAGAGCAAGAAGAAAGGTAAAGCGCAGAGTAAGAGACATGAACAAAAGCACACATACCATGGGTTGTGTGACGTCATCTTCCACTACTTGTCAAACACAGGGTCTGCAAGGATGTTTCTTCATAGCAAACTTCCAACAAACATCAGGGTTGTTAAGCAGAATGAAAAGGAAGAAGGTAGGCATCATTCCTTATTAAGCAGCTGTTATTATCTTTGTTATCAGGACTACGACTTATTTATGACAAAAAAGATACTTTTACATGAAACCAAATTCTTCATACTGTCCTTTTAGTGTAAAATGTGTATCGGGGCAGATGGTTACGTTAAATATCCGGTGAAAAAAAGTCGTTTAAAAGGCGAGTTCTCTACTGCAAATTGAATGGAAAATAATTCACAAATACAGTTCCTCACAAATACAGAAGCACATTATCACAATTCCTCATAAATTCAGTAGCACACAAACACAGTTTTTATAAATTCAGTAGCACACACGCACAGTTTCTCACAAATACATTAACACACACATTTCCACACAAATACAGTAACAAACACAGTTCATCACAAAAACTGTAAATCATAAACACAGTTCCTTACTAATACACCTACACATAATCATATTTCCACAAAAAACTAGAAGCACACAAACACAGTATTCATAAATACATTAGCACACAAGCACAGTCCTCATAAATACATCAACACGCAACCATAGTTCCACAAAAGTTTTGTGAACAGTTTCTCACGTATATGTAGCACACACAGTTCTTCACTAATACAGTAACAAAACCATAGTTCCTCACAAATGCAGCAACAAAACCATAGTTCCTGACAAACGCAGCAACAAAACCATAGTTCCTGACAAATACAGTTACACACACAGTTCGCAATTAACACAGTAACAAACAAACACAGCTCCTCCTCATTTCAGAATCACACAAGCACAGTTATTTTGCAAATACAGTAACACACACAGTTTTTCACTAAACGGGAAACGCACAAATACAGTTCCTCACAAATACATAAACGCAAATCACAGTTCCTCACAAATACATTGACACGCAAACACAGTATCTCGGAAAAAGAGAAACGCACAAATACAGTTCCTCACAAATACATTAACACACACAGGTCCACACAAATACATAAACACACACAGTTCCTCACAAATACAGTAGCACACAATCACACTTCTTCACAAGTAAAAAAAATACTCAAACACGCTTCCTCTCAAATATATTACCATACACAGTTCCTCACAAATACAGTAACACACAAAGACAGTACCTCACAAATACAGTAACACACAGTACCCCACAAATACAGTAACACATAGTTCCTCACAAATACAGTAACACACAAACACAGTTCCTCACAAATACAGTAACACACAGTTCCTCACAAATACATTAAGTTCTTTTCAAGTAGAGAAACACTCAAACACAGTTCCCCACAAATACATTAACACACACAGTTCCTCACAAATACAGTAACAAACACATTTTTTAGCTCACCTGGTCCGAAGGACCATGGTGAGCTTATGCCATACCGCAGCGTCTGTCGTCCGTCGTCCGTCGTCCGTCGTCCGTCCGTCCGTCAACTTTTCCTTTAAAACGCTACTTGCCCTGAACGGCCAAGCAGATTTTGACTAAATTTGGTCTGGAGCATCCTTAGGCCTAGGGGACTCAATTTTGTAAAAGTGGTTGGTGTGGCCCCCCTGGGTGCAGAGGGGTGGGCCCAATAGCGGAAATAGAGGTAAAACCTTTAAAATCCGTCTTGTACCTTAGGGATTAAGGGATTTTATCCTAATTTAGTCTGGGGCATCCTTGGGCCAAGGGGACCTAATTTTGTATAAACAGTGGGTCTTGCCCTCCTGGGTGCTGAGGGACGAGGCCCAATAGGGGGAATATAGCAAATTCTTTAATATCCTTCTTCTGTAGGAATGAAAGGATGTGTTCCATATTTAGTCAGAACCATTCTTGGGGGAAGGGGAACACATTTTGTTTAAACAGTGGGTCTGGCCCTCCAGGGGGCTGAGGAGCGGGGATCAATAGGGGAAACATAGCAAATTATTCTTTAAAATACTTCTTCTTCTGTGGGAATGAAAAAATTTGTTCCATATTTGGTGTGGAGCATCCTTGGGTGAGGGGGAACCAATTTTGTATAAACAGTGGGTCTTGCCCTCCTGGGGGCTGAGGGACGAGGCCCAATATGGGAAATATAGCAAATTCTTTAATATCCTTCTTCTTCTGTAGGAATGAAAGGATTTGTTCCATATTTGGTCAGAACCATCCTTGGGGGAAGGGGAACACATTTTGTATAAACGTTGGGTCTGGCCCCTCCTGGGAGCGGGGCCAAATAGGGGAAATATAGCAAATTCTTTAATATCCTTCTTCTTCTGTAGGAATGAAGGATTTGTTCCATATTTTGTCTGAAGCATCCTTGGGTGAAGGGGAACCGATTTTGTAAAAACCATGGGTCTGGCCTCCCAGGGGCCTNCATGGGTCTGGCCTCCCAGGGGCCAGAGGGGCGGAACCCAATACAGAAAAACATAGCAAATTATTCTTTAAAATCTTTCTTCTTCTGAAAGGAAAGAAAGGATTTGATCCATATTTGGTGTGGAGCATCCTTGGGTAAAGAGGAACCAATTTTGTATAAACAGTGGGTGTGATCCCCTGGGACCTGAGGGGCGGGGCCCAATAGGGGAAATAGAAGTAAAACCTTTATAATCCTTCTACATTGTAACATAGGGATTTAGGGAGTTTATCCTAATTTAGTCTTGAGCATCCTTTGGCAAAAGGGACTCAATTTCGTATAAACAGCGAGTGGGGGTAGAATGGCGGGGCCCAATAGGAGAAATAGAGGTAAAACCTTTAAAATCATTCTTCGACCATCAAGATTAAGGGATTTTATCCTTATTTAGTCTGGAGCATCCTTGGGCCAAGGGTTCTCAATTTTGTTATAATTGGTGGGTATGACCCCCCTAAGGGCATAGGGGTGGGGCTCTGTTTGATGTTTGTTCTCGCTATATCTCAAGTACTGGATGGATCTTTCTGAAAATGTATATGTACTTACAGCACCTACCATGGAGTGCTATACCTTTACTTCAATTATTTATAAACATAATCAGATGAGCGATACAGGCCCTCTGGGCCTCTTGTTTACAAATACAGTTACACACAATCATATTTCAACAAAGATATAGTAGCACACAAACACAGTACTTTATAAATACATTAACACACACAGTTCTCACAAATACAGTTACACAAATCATATTTCAACAAAGACATAGTAGCACACAAACGCAGTACTTTATAAATACATTAACACACACAGTACCTAACACATACATTAACACACACAGTTCTCAAAAATACAGTAACACACAAACACAGTTCCTCATAAAACATTAACAAACAGTGGTATGAGAGTCCTTAAGTAATACACTATTTAATGAATGGACGCAAACAATGAATGCTTATTTCTGTAATTGATATGTAATGCAAAATGAAGATTGTAAATCACGGATGAAGTGTGAGAGTAGCTATCAAAACAAGACACACACTAGAACATTAATATTGTAATATACTGTATATTATTTTCATTATAGACTTGTATTATCACATTGTTTTCCTTTATGACAATTCTTAAAATGACATTACGATTACATTTTTTGTTTATACTTGTTCATGTATATTTTAAAAAGTTATATTTTTTGTTCCTCTCGCTAGGCGAGAAAAGCTTTGGTGATTGTAACCAAAGTTTAGCGTCCACGCTCGATCTCCCCGAGGGTTCAATTGTAAAGGAGGTTGAGACATTGCTATTTCGGGCGTGGTTTCGTTACCAGGAAGACTCTGAACAACTAGCTTGGATGGAGGTAATACCAGCAGAACGTAGAGCTTACACTATATCAAACAAACAAATATCTGTCAGTAGTATCCTGAGTACAGTGACGGGTGGCGCTATGACATCACCGACAGTATTTGTCAAACATTGGTCGATCCCTAAAATGCAGGTCACTTTTGAACACGACAATGGACTTTTATCAATAAGCAGAAAACTTGACTACGGTCCTGAGGAAGTCATGGAAATGCCCTACAGTACGTTAAGCGATACTGTGTTAGCGCATTATGACAACGATGCCTGGCACCTGAACATTGGATTAAAAAACCCACCGAAACTTTTGGAAAAAACTCAAACCAAGAGGCGAACATATAGCATAGCAATAACAGAAGAGAAAAGATTAATTCACCTGACGTCCGTCACTAGTATAGACATTGGCTGTACATCAGTTCTTTGTTTAGATGTTCCTGATACGAAGACAACTCATTCTTCACAAGCCGATATGTGGATGGTTGTGGCAAGATTGAAACGCCACGGATTCTCCATATCATATGCCAATGTTTTAGTCAAAGCTCCACAGGAAAATCTAAATAACAGATTCGAGTTCGGGACATTCGATCTATATTATACATGGGAATGTCTACTCTCGTGTGGCTTTAAAGTGACAGATTCTATCACTCAACAGTCATTGCTGTTGCTCGAGGAACGAAAATCTACCCTGACTCCAGAGGTATTCCAGGACATGACAAATATTGCAGACAACAGTCAATTCTTCGAATTCGAAAGAGTCCTGACTAACAGCATGGCCAAATTTGGTAGTTTAAGCGTCGCAGACAAAAGGGACGAACTCCCATCACATTTTGCCATGACTAGGCGAATAGTCGTTACTCCAACACGCATGATCCCACTCCCAAAAGAACCGATTGTCCAAAACAGGATTATACGCCAGTACGATGACGACTTCTTTATCCGGGTGATGTTCCGTGATGAAGATTTTACAAGACTGAGTGCTGCACGGGCGGAAGGACTAAAGAATATCACAGAACGACTTCGCAAGTTCATGGATGCTGGATTTAAAATTGGTGACAGGAAGTACGAGTTCTTGGCTTGCTCTAACAGCCAGTTGCGTGAACACGGAGTGTGGTTCTTCTGTCCTAACAACGGCAAGACGGCAGAAAGCATCAGGTTTGCGGCTGGGGATCTAACAAAAGAGAGATGTGTTGCCACGTACGTGTCGCGCATGGGTTTATGTTTCTCTGCGTCTCGAGCTACAGTAGAGGTAGATGTAGATGACGGTTCCGTGAAGTACATTGATGACATCGAATCCAGATCATACTGCTTCACAGACGGTATTGGGAAGATATCAGTGCCCTTGGCAAAAAAGGTAATATCAGTATTTGTTTTTATATAATTCTTGAAATGATCTGAGTATCAAAATCATGAATCTTTAAAGCCTTCTGTCTGAATTGGACATTTCAGTTGTTGTTGTTTTTATATATTTTTCAAAGAAACATTATCTTCTTTTATTTATCATTTATTTATCATCAAATATTCTACCTTTCGCCATGTTTAAATTTTCCTTTTTTTCTGAAAGAACAAGGGAATTTCGTATACAATATATCTCAAATTGATTTATAAGTATCATGAATATTTTGTTTTAATGTATTCATTCTGTGATAGTCAAAGGAAATATAAGATAAAAAAGAACTATAAGATAAATCACGCGTAATTCAGAATACCAATTTGTCAGAGCTGTCCGTCCAACGAAACATTATCTTCCTTTATTTTTCATAAAAAAGGACACTATATTTTGTATATTTTTTATGATTTCATCATCAAATATTCTAAGATAGTCAAAGGAAATATAAGATAACAACAAGAGGCCCAAGGGCCTTAGCGGTCGCCTGAATTATATCATAGGTACTGGTAGCTTTATTTTATTGTTTAGATGTGATGTGGAAATCAGCATGTAAGCTAAGTGAAATACAATACTTGTCATCAAAGGATAAGAATTTGAAAATATTGGTAAATGTTCCCTTTGGGGCCCCGCCCTAGCCCCTGGGGAGGGAGCAGGAATCTCAATTTTACAAAGTAATACTCTCATTCACCAATGATTCTGACTAAGTTTGAGTAATATCCTGCTGAAAATTGATAAAATATACCCAAAAGTGTTATTTCCCTATATAAACTATAGTAAACTGAACTCCCTCCCCAAGGGAGAACGGATAGCTCGGAGGTCCTGAAATTTACGATTTAAATAAAGCCCCTGATGATTTTCTTTCCATGCAGAGAAAATGAATGTAGTACCTCTGAGTCTGGAGGAGAAAATTTTGGAAATATTGGTTAATTTTCCCTTTGGGGCCCGCCCTTGCCCCAGGGATTGGGGTAGGAATCTCATTTTTTCAATTTGAAACCATCTTCTTCCAAGGATAATTCTCACCAAGCAAAAATAATTTCCTACAGAAAGTTGTCAAAATATACCCAAAAGTGTTATTTCCCTATATAAACTATAGAAATTTTACCCCCTCCCAAAGGGAGAACGAATAGCTCGGGGGTGCTGCAATTTACAAAGTAAAGCCCCTGATGATCTTTCTTTCCATGCAGAGTAAATGACTGTAGTACCTCTGAGTTTATTGAAATATTGGTTAATTTTCCATTTGGGGCCCCGCCCTGGCCCCAGGGGTTGGGGTAGGAATTCCAATTTTACAATTTTGTAGCCTCATCTACCAAGGATGATTCTGACCAAGTTTGAAAAAAATATCCATCCACTGGTTCTTGAGAAGAAGTTGAAAATGTAAAAAAAATACGAACAACGCACGACGGACGACGGACAACGGACGACGACGGACAGAAAGCGATTAGAATAGGTCACTTGAGCAAAACTCAGCTGACCTAAAAAGTTATCAGATGAATCAAGGGTCATTCAAAATACCAATTTGTCAGTGCTCTCTCGTTCAGACAGTAAGATTAAATCTCATATAGTTTAACGAAAAGTTCTTATAGTATAGCAACTGATTAATTGTATACTCGTTATGAGTATCATAGATACATGTCATATTATTTTTTTACTCTATTTCATTATGACAATTCTTTTATCTTAATTTCAGGTTGCAGGTGCTTTGCTGATGGATCCGGTGCCCTCCGCGTTCCAGATCCGTTACGGTGGCTGTAAAGGCGTTGTTTCTCAGGATCCCACCCTTGGCAATGCAGAGCTAATCCATATCCGAAAAAGCATGCGTAAATTCGAGTCCTCTTCCAAAAATCTTGAAATCTTACAGACAACTCATCCAGGTAAGTCTTGACAAATATACAAGCACAGTTCTATGACTAGCGCACTGTGCGGGCCTCGGACTCACGTTAAAACAGTGACACAAGTCATAACATTGTTTTCCTTCGTCGTTTGTGTTTCTATGTTAGTCATTCAATTAATGAACACAATGTTTATACTAGTGTATATTGGTACAAACATCTAAGGTATGAACTACATGCCGTAATTCTACTATGTTTAATATGTAAAAATAGTTGTACAATTCGTATCCATGTTCATATTATATTTGTGAGGAACTATGGTTTTGTTACTGCAGTTGTGAGGAAATATGTTTCTGTTCCTGTATTTGTGAGGAAATATGTTTTTGTTACTGTATTAGTGAAGAACTGTGTGTGCTACAAATACGTGAGAAACTGTTCACAAACTTTTTATGGAACTATGATTGCGTGTTGATGTATGTATGAGGACTGTGCTTGTGTGCTACTGTATTTATGAACACTGTGTTTGTGTGCTACTATTTTTTTGTGGAAATATGTTTATGTGTAGGTGTATTATTAAGGAATTATATTATGAGTTTCCATTTCATATGAGATTTATGAAACGAGTTTAAGAATTTTTCAATTTAGCGAGGCTCTGGCGAGCTAAAATGAAAAATTCATGACGAGTTACATCATTTTATATGATATGAAAACGAGTGTAATATCCTTTCTATCAAATCAAGATTGTTGGCATTTATTCGTGTAAAGCGACAATTTGTATGCAACCTTGAAATGTAAAAAGCCGCCATTTTGACTCCAGTGCGTAAGTCTGTGGCATTATATACTTGTACTAGATGTCACGTTACAATTGAATCAATTGAAACTTACAACCAATCACAGAGCTGATAGGTCATAGTATATAGGTAAATACGCAAAAAAATATGACATGGGTATATTCACTGGATAACACAGTAATGTGATAAATATCTATATATTACGCTACAGGTACTCATCAATAGACGGTTCGTCACTATAACTATGTCGGGAGTATCGGGCTGTTGACCGTGCAACATCCAAACCTTCTTTTATAAGGAGGTGAGGTTTTGTAGTAGTAGTAGCTAAGGAAATTTCTTTGCTAGACGATTAGATGCCATGGGTTGTGAGGTCGGGCACGGACAGGGCACGAGTTATTTAACATGTCCCCATTTTTCAATCGTTTTTCTATGTCATTTATTGAATGATTATACAATATATCAAATACACAAGTGTATGTTGATTCAAAGGTTTAATTATGAGTTACCTGTCTTAATTATACTGTTTCTAATTAATAATATAAATATATATCAGATTTTATCTAAAATTTAGCAATCTGTAAGAGACACGTGTATTTAATTAAATTGACAGGTCAGCTGCATTTAAACAGACAAGTGATAACTCTGATGACTGACCTTGGAGTCCCAGACCAAGTGTTCCTGACTCTGCAGGAGAAGATGCTATTCAACATGGCTGACATGTTATTAGACAACAACAGGGCTATGCGTGCACTAGCGGAGGTGAGCTGTTTTAAGCTTTTACAAAACAATTGAGAAAATCAAGAAAAATATATTTGATGATACAGAGCATGTAACATGTTGCATGACTATTTGAATAAAAAACGTTTGTCCTGGATTAGTGACGTCATCGCGTTTTCTTTGTTATGTCATACCAGATATTATAATACATGCAAGGTATCACAATTCCATGTGTTGGTTTAAGTTACAATGTATTAAAATAATATAAACAAGAAATACTGAAAGGACCTTGGCGCCCAAATGGAAAGGATCTTTATCAGATATACAAAAGATGATCCTTTATCTCTGTTGCTCTTCAGTTTCCTTACAGGTACTATTACCCACTCTCATGTTGGAATCTTGTACATTAACTGCAACTTCGTAATGTCATTTGCCACTATGACAACTGCTATTGTATAAGAATTTTTACGAAAAATGCAAAAAACTAAAAATTAAATTCTTACATAATTAGAAGTGATGTCAATGAGGGATGAATTCCTATTATGACCAGGGGTATTTTAACAAGGGACCAAGGTAAACATGCATATACATGTAGAATTTGAGAAAGATCAAGAGAAGTAGAAATGGTATGGTCAACATGGAAGATAGAAAACTGTTCATTCACACATTTGAGAAAAACCTGAAGAAAAGGAGATTTTATCCATATCTTCTCTGTAACTAGCATAGCAAACCCCAATTTTCTACATGTATACTGAACAAAAGAAGAAACGCACAATTAAATTATGCAATCAATAGCCTATGATATTTTGGGAAATTTGTACAAAATTTTATATCAATATGAAGAGACAAGTCTTCTCTTTACAATACTGTAGAAAAAAGTCTGTGACGTCACTCGTGTCATCAGAAGTTACTCGAAGTGGGATACCCGCGAAAAACAAAATAACACTTCAGTACCGGGTGTGGGCACCTTTTGCACGAATTCCTGCACGGATTCTCCTATGCATTGAATTCATTAGAACATTTATTCGTCTTAAGGGAATGTTGTTCCATTTTTGTGTTAATGCTGCGATCAACTGGGTGCGGTTAGTTGGGGTTTTTGATGTTTCCTAATACGCCTGTCCAGCTCACCCACAGATGCTCAATGGGAGACATGTCGGGGCTATATGGGGGCCATTCCAGAGGCTGAACGTTGTTTGCAGTGAGAAAATCACGACAGACTCTGGCAACATGCGGTCAAGCATTGTCTTGCTGGAAAATTAGGTTATGACGTCTGAGAAGTGGTAGGACATGTGGTTGGAGGATCTGGTCTCTGTATCGAACGGCATTGAGGTTTTGATCCAGGACCACTAAGGGGGATTTTACTCCATGGGAATTGCCTCCCCAAACCATTACAGAAGCCCCATCGAATATATCGCGTTCAACCACGCATGCGTCGGCGAAACGCTCACCGCGTCTGCGATATACCATTTTCTTCCGTCTGAGCGATACAGACAGAATCTAGACTTGTCGGCGAACATCACACGCCTCCATCGACGCATCCCAAACCTATTCGGGCCATGTCTGCGCATCTACGTGGTGTCAGAGGTGGCCCGACATAAGGTCGGCGCGCAATGATTCTCTCGGCACGCAAGCGGTTCCTGGCAGTTTGAGGACCAATGGGTCTGCCATGAGTACCTAAGGTATGCGACGCAGTCTATACAGCAGTCTTGAATTTGTGCGCAAGTGCGGCAATCGAATCGCCCTGTTTTGTCGTGCGGTCGTTACACGCGGACGACCGCTCCTGGGACGATCGGAAACTAACCCAGTAGCATGGAATAGTGTACAGAGACGGTTAATTGTACATGGATTAACACCAAACTGCCGTGCGACAGCAGTTTGGCTATGACCATTCATCAACATCGCAATTGCTCTACCCCTCTGAATTTGCGTTAAGCGTGTCATCTCAGTCAATGGCGAAATCAAAATGCCAACGTGGAAAATTAATATGACTGAACCTAGAGTATCCGTTGAGATTATTTGTTTGAAAAACTCCAGCTTAGCTTGATCACGCCGCGTGATTTCGACTAAAGAAGCTCAAAAAGTCACACAATGACGACGTCACGCTTGGCTGATTTTAGGGTTGATTGTTGAGAAGGGAGATCGTTCTTGATGTAATACCTGACCAAATATTCCATTATTTCCTTACAGCTAAGGTGTACTGCAGGGGGGAACTTTGTGCGTTGTTTATGTTTGTTCAGTATATTATTCCTGTCATGATAACCTCCCTTTTGCATTGTATAATCCGATGGTAATTAACTTTGTCTTCAATTCAGGGTAGGTATCTTAGAAGTATTTTTTATTCCGTTTAATCAAAAACCTCTTTACTTTCCTTATCATGTTAAGCCAAAAATGTTATACTTTTTTTAAGTGACATTGAAATGAAAGCTATCTCACAGGTCACCAAATTGTATGAAGATATTTTTGCAGAAAATTGTACCAACTCAGGTGTATTCTCCCATTAAGAACACGTTTGACGTTTAATTACTTTTTTAATATATTGAGATTGCCCGACTTCATTCTGGGATTCAAACGTATTTGTTCGAATGTAAATATCAAAAATTCTCTATGATGTGTGCGATGTTCGTGACGTTCTACGTTTATCAGAACAGCATGTAAGTTCATTTTCCTTTTTACTTAAAGGTCAATATTGGGATGAAGTACAAAGACCTGATGAGGGCAGGAATATCTTTCACCGGCGAGGCGTTTTTCAGGTCAGTATTAATGACAATATACAAACGCAAACTGGGTGAGTTGATCCGAAAAACGAGGATTGAAGTGGATTATGACCAGGGGAGGATCATGATGGGGACTATTGACGAGACGGGAATATTGGATTACGGACAAGTCTTTATTTCCTTCACAAAGCATGACGGGATAAATTACAAAGGTACCAAAATCCTAGAGGCCGAAGTCGTCGTTGCCAAAAACCCCTGTTTTCACCCTGGTGACCTACGTAAGTTTCAAGCAGTAGATGTCCCGGGACTTCATCACCTAGTGGACTGTATCGTGTTTCCTCAAAGAGGATCCCGTCCACACCCAGACGAGATGTCTGGTTCGGACTTGGACGGAGACATGTACTTCGTTTGCTGGGATAAGACGATGCATCCTCCGGGAGAAAACAAGGACGCTATGGACTTCCCAAATGCTATAAAAACAAAGTTGTGGAGAAATGTTCAAGTGTCAGATGTCACTGGATTTATATCGGAGTACATCCGAAACGACCAGCTCGGGGTAATCGCAAATGCTCACGTTGTTCATGCAGACATGAAAAATATCTTCTGTAAGGAATGTATCACACTGTCGAAGAAGCACTCAGATGCCGTGGACTTTCCAAAGACTGGGGCTGTGCCAGAGATGACTGCAGATCTAAGATCCGAAAAGTACCCAGACTTTATGATGAAATCTGATAAACCAAGATATACTTCCAAAAAAATATTGGGAAAATTGTACCGCGAGAGTAGATCGTTGGAGCAACCTCACAACCGTACATATAGTATGGACCTTCTCAAAGATGCCTTTATTGTCGACAGAGATATGATGTATCCTGGATACGAGAAGTATCTAGATTCTGCACATCTGTCGTATGACCTGTACAATGAAAAAGTCTTGCAACTAATGTCTCTATACGGAATAGAAACGGAAGCAGAAGTTGTTACTGGTGTTATTCAGAAACTAAAGAAGACACGAGGTCATCTACAAAATGAAAAATATGAGATAGAGAAAATCATCCATGGAAAAATGATCTTTATTAGACAGAAGGTACGCGCAGACTTTTATGAAGAGTTTGGGGAAGAAGTAGAAGACAATCTGTTTCTGCAGATAATACGAAAAAAATCCTCGCAAAAGCGTCAGCTTGGTATGTCGTCGCGTATGATGTGAAGTCTCAGTTAGTCAACACTGGGAAACGCTTCATCAGCTTCCCGTGGATTATGAGCGATTTTCTGACCCAGATAAAAGCAAATGCATGCCCGGCCACCAGCGAGGTGACAACGGACAAATCAGCTAAACCAGAAAGACCAGAACTCGTCCAAATCGGCTCATCAATAGTAAGACATTTTGATACGAGACACGAGAATCGGCTTGCAACATTTCAGTTCCTCCAAGTAACTTTCACTATGATTTCTGATCACCTCCATCGTTGCCTCGGACCGGGGATAAGAGTGTCCTTCACAGGACTGCCATCATTGTGTCTAATGGATATGTACACTCGTGATATCAATGTCTGTCTGGAACTGCAACAGCAAATCACCGGAAAAGATTTCAACACTCTGTTAAAGAATGTTATGGCAAGTTATATGGCAGGTTATCGGCCTTTAACGCCGAAGTCATTCATCGTCCGAATAGACGAAGATCCTGTGACTGTCACATTTAGCCAAAACACCAACGATATAGGCAGAACAAATTTCATCCGACGACGACTTCAAAGAAGCTCAACCTATACGCTCATCCTGACGTTTCTTCTCGACTGGGCAAGGAAGTACACAATTATTGGCAGATCCCGATCCGCAGTGTTTTCCGAAGTCGTTTTTACGTTGCTGGTTCTCAAACTCTTGTCGGATGTAGACGGCAACTCAACAGAAACAAAGACAACGCATGACGACATGAATCACATGAATGTATCTTCTTGGCTTCCAGGAAAAATAACTACAAGCAAACAACTTCAAACAGCTAGTCTAGTGATGGCCGTCTTGCGAAATTTTGATTCTTTGCTGATCAGCGATAAGAAAGGGGAAATTCGAATATATGTGCCAGATCCAACAGATGATGTCATAAATCAACGGTTTCTGGTACCTGGTAATCTAGGATTGAGGAAACTCAAACATCTGACAGAGGAAATTCTCTTTGTTTATCAAGAAATTGCAAAAAACAGATCTGTAAATATCTTTTTTGAACAAAACATCCTTGAAGAAGATCATCTGATCATTAACCTGCCATTAGACATTTGGGGGTCTGTAATGTTTGCAGAAACCTTCACTGCTAGACGATTGTCAGAAGAGACTGGCGCCGAAATCAGCATACGAAGAAAGACGTTCAGTGTTACCCCTGGACTAATTTTAGAAGCATGGGGAACTCGCAAAGAACTGTGGAATGTTCAACAATCTCTTCAAGACCTGAATGACAAATCATCAAAGTTCGTTACCACCTCTGCACGAGACAAAGCCTTCATTGGTGGCGCATTCAAACGTATATTCTATGGGTCGACAGGTCCGAATCAGCAACTCACATTCAATCGGTATACCGGCAGATGTCAACCAGCGCACAAACAACTCACATTGTACGTTCCACTCGTAGACGGGTCTTATCAGAATGATAGGAATACAGCTTTGGAAAAGTTCAAAGAAGTATTCAGGACACAGATGGAACTCACCCGACAAGATTTTGACAGAACATACCATGGGGATCTAAGAATTGCACTTACATTCGGAATATACTACATATTTTATGTTGAAAATCCCCAGTTTACGATATCAGAATTTGAAATTGCGTTTGAAGGTCATGGCAAGCCACATGAAAAGCAGTTAGAACTGAGCCTGCCAGGGCGTGGAGGATGGCGAAATCGCAACAGGCATGGTCGGTTTACTAAACCTAAACCAAGACACATAAGAGGCTCTTTCATGCCTAAGGAGTGTGACAAAAACAACGTCAGTGCTTTTCTAGGCAACTCGTTTTTCAAAGAACGCAATGAAGAAGTAAAATATCATGCCACATTCAAGTTGGGCTCCCCAGATTATGGAAAACCTCTCGAAGGTCTTGTTATCCTTGACAAAGAGCTTCTGTTCATTGAGCTTCGGCTTTCTGATTTGAAGTGGATGGCGGTGGACGTGTGTCGCGGCTATAATGGTATACCTTATACCAACAAACGTCTAGATGTCCGGTGTAAGCTGCACTCACGACGTCTTATGGACATGGAAGGAGTACAAGAGATGGCTGACACGAAAATGCTTTTGGAGCCTAGCACACGTGTGCTGTTGAAACCCCAACCGAATGTTTTTTACGTGTCTCCAGAGTTTAGGGATAGAATATCATTCGTGAGAGAGAAGCACGCCAAGTCGTACCATTATGACGGACCAGTGACAGAATATAGTAATTGGCAGGACATGAACATCAAAATAGCAACAGTGTTTGAACATTCGATACCAGATTCTAGTGGTAGGTTCCAGGACATGGTAGAAAAACAGGAAGTCACCGTGATACCTAAACTCCCTCCACTGGACACAACGGAAACGGACTGGGACAGTTATGCAGAAAACATTTGGGAACTCATTGAACAATTAGGCGAACAATTTGATTCAGACTAGATGGTTCAACCAAGAGTACATGATGCCACAATACCCTTGCAGTGTTTAAACTGTATACATGTGTTAATAAGAATGAAATCAATGGCAAAATCCCAAATACGAATTATTCGTCATCCGTGAACATTTTCGATGTCGGCATTGAAATACATAACTGTATTCATTTATACATAGCCAAGACATCGATAGATACACAGCAGAGAAACGACTGTGGAATGCCTTATTATTTTGGGCGACGCGTATATAATAAAGTGCATTTAGTCCAAATCGTTCGTAAAAGACCGTCTACAGTCGTGTTTAAGTGTCATATTGAAACCGGGGCCCGTATTCATGAAACTGTTCTCATGCTAAAGCATGGATTCTGTGCTCAAAGCTACTTTTTTGTAACTCGTTTAAATAATCTCAAACTATCAAAAAGTCAAATGTGAAAATTGGAAATAGTATTGGCTTGAGTCTCTTCAATTTTTTTCCAAATCATTAACAAAATAAGAGTTGTTTAATAATTTATGACTTAAACAAGAAATTAGGCTTGAGCACAAAATCCATGCTTGAGCATGAGATCGGTTTCATGAATAAGGGCCCGGAAACAGTCGAGGTAAAATAGAAGTAAAAGGGTTCATGTAAATATATTCTAGGAAAGAATCAGTGTTACCTCGGTGTTTATGAACACAGGTAAACATAAATACGACAATGTCTAGGTAGCAGTGTACAGTAGCGTACGGTGGCCATGGTGATATTTTTGTACAATGAATAACCCCTGTTATATTACATGTATCAAAAGTTAAAATAAAATCAGCTCTAAAATTGGCATATACATGATGATTTGGACTATGTGGGCTTCACATTTATAAAAAAAAATCGAATTTGGCTTGAGACTACATTTTTGGCCATTTACGAATTTACGAACAAAAGCTAAGGAAATCGCTTTTGAAAAAAATGTATTTTTTCTAAAAAAAAACCAACACGTATTTAAAATGGAGTTAATAAATATATAAATATGTAATCTGTGTCTACAAAACAAAAGCTAGCTTTCCATGTAGTCTATTTTTGTACTCAGCACATATGTAAATATTGTGAAAAATCTAGTTTGACGACCTATGCTAAAACGTGAGTATCTGTGACCGAGTAGGTGATAATTAATTTAAGACAGGTTTTAAGAAAAAAACATCCTACTTGCGTGGGTCAAATTTTAGGTTAAAAACCATGTTTATTTCCAATTTTTTGGCGTTTTTTGATGTGGTAACCATGGTTTTCACAAGTCCCTAATCTGGGGAAATCACTTTTGAAAACATATATTCATTCTTCTAAAAAAAACGTATTCAAAATGTAGTTTATAAATATATATATATGTGTAGGTGGGTTGTGCAGGATGAATGCGCTATCCATGTTTATCCGAGACTTGCCCTTTAGTATTAGGGTCAAGCCATTTCTACTGTACTCTGCTACCCTAGACTTCACAGGTGTAAGATCTTCATTATCATTTCTGTCATGCACCTTTTATCATGTTTATAACAAAATTTACAACAGCATAAACTACACTGTACATTATGATGTCATATAAATAAAATAAACATGTTATTATTCCTCTTCAGTAGCTGCGTGCGTTGTGACTATGGTGTATCATTTTAACCTTAAATAAAAAGATATTACCGGGTTAAAATATTGTCTAAATTCGATATTTGAATTCCAATCATGCGGTGATTAAATCTAACACTCCACAATTATTCTGTAAAAAAACTCATCAATTAATGAATGTGCAACATCCTTGTATATTTTGAAAACTCCTAATATTACTTTATTTTATATATTATATATATATATAGATCTTTTTAATTTTAGATGCTTGTTATTGAAAGTAGATAATTATGGAATTTGTTTTCATGTAATGGTATGTTTCCATGTATGTTTATGTAATCAAGGTCGTTTCAAATGCATAGCCTGAGCTAGGGATCAAAGCTAGGAGTTTGTATAATCTGGCTTACAACTCCAACGCTCTACCAATTAAGGGAATGCGATCCTCACTAGCCGAGTCGGTAAGAGGTTACTACTATTTCACTAGGGTGATGTTTACAATGAAAATTACATATTTTTTTCAATTAAACAGAAACGTTTCAGGACCGTCACTTGTATATTTGTATACTTTTATGCAATGCTATTTTATTATTTTACAGAGTGGTATTCAACGGTTATTTTTAGTAGTTATGTTTTATAGATTTGTTTATCACGGAGTGTAAGTTTTCGTAATAATATTTTACACGTTGTTAATGTTTGCGTATATTTGCACATTAGTCAATTTTTGTTTCAGAGAAACTGATTTCATAATGACCAAACCACGAATACCATGATATTTGATATACATTGTATGCAGCAAAACACAATGTGACTCGTTTCATTTTATCTGTGTTAAAATGAACATCATGAATAATGAATGCCGAAATCATGTTGACATTATTGTTAAGAGGTTTAAGCTATCAAACCATAATCCTACTATGAAAATGTCATAACTGATCACTAAAGAAACCAAGAGAAATATTCCTTTCTCTGATTTATAGTCCATATAGCTTTGTTGAATATCTCTGAATTAAACTTTATATACCTTTGTTTACGACGATACCACTGTGAAGTTCTGGTTTTATAATATTTGCTTTAATCGGGACCAATATGTTAGGGCACGGTTTTTAATTAATTTAAAAAAAACCATCCAGGTTCAATTGATGTAGCTATGTAAACGATGAGAACTGATGAATTTCTGGTTTTTATATGTCTATCCGGATCACAAAGGTTCAGTAATGCAACATAAATGAACTACGATACGTTTATGTAATCAAAATTAATGTTTACGGTATAAACACAGTTTTTCTATTTTTACGATATTTACAATTCCTTTTTGGGAATCTTATAATACGCACACAGTTTAACGTGTTTGTTTTGTTTCAAATTTATTCTTAAAAGAGAAAGTAATATTTACTCTTCATGTATGTGAAATATGAAAGTGTATTATTGATTTTCTTTTCAAATATAAAAAAATAAGTACAATGTTTGTTTTACTTTCGTTTTTCGCTTATTCGCGGAAGATTATTCCATGACCTAGTTTCTCGTTTACAGAAACTATTGACGTTCTAGATTCGTTGTACCGGGCGCGTTCCACGAATTACGTTAGGAGAGCAGTTTCGTTTTGTTGCATATTTACATATTCAGCAACATAAATTAATGAAGTGACTGGTAATTGACACAGATTGATTCTTAAAATCTCAAAAAGAAGAAAAAAGGAAAAATGTTTTTTCGATAAAAAGGCAAATTTGCCAAATTCCTAATAACGCTGAGATTTAAATTTCAACGTATTTTCAAAGTTTTTGAAATTATCACTCGAATGTTAATATCTCGGGATTTTTCAGCAATTTTTGAAGAGAGTCTACATCAAATGATTTAATGTGTACCATCTTTACAAATTATAACATATTAACAATATCAGTTTTAGTTTAAAATTGGTAACGTCCTTTAGTTTTAGTTGAAAGTTGCTTACAGTTCCTGTCATAGTCTGACCATTTTCTTGACATTTAATTAGTATTGATTCTAATAGATTAAGGATTAACTCCATGTTTCCGTAGCATACATGCTGTTATTTAATATATCGATGTGCTTTTCATTAAATGTAAGTAATTACATTGTAACTGTAATAATAATACAATTAGTACTTAGTTATGTACTTTGTTAATAAGTACTACATTGACTGTAATATGAATGCAGTTAATTAGTATTGATGTATTTTTACTCAGTGTATGTTACATCCTTTTGACTGCAGTATGAAGACAATGAAATTTTACTGTTGTACTTTTACTTAGAATTAGAAACATATAACTGTTATACGATACAGCACGTACAACTACATTTTCCTACAAATATAGTAGCAACATGTACGTACTAAAGGACCCCTGTCCCGATACATGCAAAACGCTATAGAGATCCACACTATTTTTGCGTACATACAGTAACCTTACAGTTTGTCTTGCATATCTGTGTAACTCGACATGGCAAGATTACTTCCGTTTACTAGGTTGCTTTGATGGTTAGAGTGACAATATATTGATCTGGGATCCGGGATTCGAATCCTGTTCTGGCTGCGATACATTATTACGCTAAGAACACTGCTGAAAACAAACTTGCATACAAAAGAACAGTTTTCTCCAGTAATCTTAATCGCATTAATAGTTAGAAATCTTAATGTTTAATATATACCACGAGTCATCGTCCTGCCTCTGGTATCCCGTATTTCATAGTTACTGAGAGTCACCTGGATTTATTTATTACAACAAAATGACAACCATTCATCCTTTTTCGAATTACAGATTGGAAGTTTTGAATGGAAGCTGTTTGTTTCCAGTTGTAGTCTTCTCCTAACTGTTCAAATCTCAAGAATCGTTGCATTTCCATTCTTACTTAAGTTCATAAAAGACCCAGCCAACTAATTCTCTTTCCTGAACTGACAAGATTATGTTTCTGGTGGATACATATCATGATTATCTGTGTGTCTCTTTTAAACCGTTTTTGTAGGCTATATGTTCCTCTTAAATAATGAGGTAGATTGACCTATTCCAGGTTGGTCTCATTAAGGCCTGCTACCATAATATCTAATGCCTTTATTCTGTCAAATTTTGGAATTAGTGTGTGTGGTTTGCTTTTTGGGGCGATATATTTTTTTTAATTACCTACATATAATATTATTATTATTATGTAGATATGTAATGTAATATAGAGTTTATTATATTTTTCATGTGTTTTCTTGATTTATATGCGTAACAATTACTAGAATGTTTGGATACTGATAAATTATTTCCTGAAAATAATAATACTACAGTACATTGATTGACTAACAGTTTGATAGGTGTAAAAAGGAACGTAACCGAGATGCCTTGGCAGATACATGTTGCTACGTATGTTTGGCTCAGTGGCACCAAACCTTATCTTAAGTACCCAAGCCAAACTAGGTTCTGTACTAAGGTGTATTAAAGGGTATGGCCGAACAGGGCCCTGTGCTAGGTTGTATAAAAAACAACCGGATCCAGCAGGGCCATGTGCTACAAGTTTACTCCAACAGCGTTAGAGGTTTACACGGCGAGATACTTTTGACAGGCGCAGTCGCAGTCGTCAAAATCATATCCGATAGAAAAAAGGCCGACCACCGGCCTCTTATGTTATAGGAGTAGTGCTAAGTTGTATCATTAAGACAAGGGTCCAGCAAGACCCTGTGTTAATTGTATAAAAAATAACCGGGTTGAGCAGAGTCATGTGTTTTGTTGTATCAAAAACATCCGGGTCTAGCAAGGCCCTGTGCTTAGTTGTTTCAAAAACACTCAAGCAGAAAGCTTTATCGCAAAGACAAGATAAAGATCAAAATCTGTTTAGATATGTTTCGGTATTACTGAAATTGTCAGGGAAGCAATGTATTATTGTACTGGGTCAGTTTATGATTGCCATCCTTATTCAATATAAATATAAAAGTCTATTATAAAACTTCGAGCTCCATCAATTTGGATAGTATGGGAGTGGTGGATTTATACGGGAAGTGTTATTGTTAGCAGAGTTATGTTAAAAGAGCCTCTTAGTGAATAGAAAACGAGCGTTTATGTTTTAAATGTAAGCTATTTTTTCTGTTTTTGATTTTGAACTTTTTGAATAAAAAATAATAATTTGATGAAAGTTCTTTTACGTTGTCCTTATT